GTAGTTAGCGTAGTTTGTACAGGGGCACCTTGTGAAATCTCACAGAGGACTGGATGAAGCTAGTAAATGAATAAATTCAGATGTGTAAGGCAGTGCAATGTACCCGCCCTGCTGATTCCGAAAGATGATAATTTCTGTGCCTGCGGAGTAGTTTGGCGATGAGGGGGCATTTTGCACTTTCGATGTGTCATTTGTCCTGTTTTTCAAGTCTCACTCTGGAGTAACTTGTGAACTGTTGTGAAATTCATGCAAGCTCATGGTAAAACCTGTCAACACTTGTAAGCTCACAAAATATCTCTCCAAATGGCTTACATGTGGACGAGAAGTAGCGAAAGTGTGAAATGCCCTCCCGTCGCCGAACTGCCCTTGCTTTTTTGGTCAACGTGAATTATTGCAGTTATGGAGTTGCGATGCTGAATCCTATGCTCAGTCGCACGCTGATTCGTGTAATCAAGCCTTACAACCAGTGGATGTTCATCCCGGTCACAAAGAGAACGTCTACAGATTTAACGGAACAGGAGACCCTGCAGGAGCTGCTGAAGCGGTAGGGCTCTCCGTCACTATGGAATTCGTCATTTAACTTTGAATGTCACTCATCTATTTGCAATTACAAATTGGAAATTAAGGCTATGAATAACTGGTGGAGTCAGTTGGCGAGGAACGGCGTCCCATCAAACATGCAGTACACACAGCAGGTTGCGAACCAAACTGCCCCAGTGACTTCATTCACAAAGGTAAGCTTCTGACAGGAAGCGACTATTTGTTACGCCTTTGTGGCTACGGGATGCGCGGCAGATGCGACTCAACAGGGCCTCAGAAATTCGGAGCTCCTCCTCCATCCGCGCTCTCCTCCCCCCCCCTTTGGTGGCTGCTCCATCCAATGAGTTCTAGCTCTCTGTATTGGCTAACCTCTGTCCATAAAAGGCATGCCGGATGTTAATGAAAACAGCGTCCAGGATGGTTGCGTGGGTGGAGTCGGATGTGGCACACCTTTTGTTTCCCTTCTTACATGAAGAAAGGGAAGGAGACGTTGAAGGGCCCACCAGGGGAGACCCTACCTGATTTCGCCCGGCACCCCCGCACGGTTTCCATCACAAGGCCCCACTTGACTGGAGCTCCCTCCTAAGGTGACAAATGGAAGCACAGCAAATGATCTCTACCTCGCTTTGAATGTTGTGACAAAAGAGGGGGTGCGCTGTCGACGTCAGCTCCCAATGGAATTCAGCATTCTGGCAGCTAACTCATCCATCCGAGAAACCGGCGGACGGAATGAGATCCAAAATTCGTTAGTTTCTTACCTCCGTTCCTCCCCATTCCATCTCACACCTCCAATTGCATATCGAGACTCAAACCAAGTGAGCCCGCTGCATTCAAGAAACAGCTATAGCCTCTTTCCCAGGGTGCAAATTAGGTGCTTTTCGAACAGATCTTGTGCATAGTCAATGGGCTGCACTTTGTTACAATCTGTGGTTTTTAGCGAAGGGTTAGATTTGGGTTAGGAGGCTATGCTGACTTCAGGGGAATCGTCTCTCGATCGTCTATCTGATCGCATGTCCTACGACTAGTAATACTTTTTTTGATGAATGGGAATTTGAATCTCTAGAAATGTTAGCTCGAAGCGTTCTCTCTGATAACCATTTCAGATGGCCTGGTGGAACAACATCAAAATGGGGTGTGCTATAAACCAATGCAATGGTTTCATGCTCGTTGTCTGTATGTACAGTCCAGGGTGAGTTCAGCAGTCCTTGCCTAGGAAAAGTTTGACAGTCCACGGTCGTGTGGGCGGATACAGTCAATCATGCCCATTAATGGGTCCTTTCTTTTTGTTGAGACAGTGAGGAGGAAGAGCATGCCAGTACCAATTTGCTGTCCCCGCCCATACGATAATCGTGTAATATGCCTCAAATTCAATGCTTTCAGGGGCAATGACATCGGCAGACCAATCTATAATATTGGAGCTCCATGCTCGCAATGTCAAGGAGGGTGCATTGCAGATCTCTGCACCTAAATGAAATTGGATTTTTCTGGAAGAAGAAAGGAAAAATTACTTCAATACAATCATGTATTCTAATACTCACGACTTTGGCACCATCGTAACTGAAGGCATCTTATCCATACTCTGCCGCTTTCACTGGTGTCATCATACTACATTATACCATATCAATGAAATAAAGACATTAGTCAGACAAGTTGGGAGGGGGGGGGACTTCTTCAATTTTCGCTTTTCCTGTCGTCGTATGGGTCGCTATACAGAAGTCACGGATATCTTTACAAGAGCTGACGAGTAGTTTCTACAAATTTTGACTGGCCCACTTCACGGCTTCACGAGATTTCACATATCTCTACTTGATGGCTTCATGACCATGGAGAGAAAGCGGAAGGGCAGAATACCTCCTCCCTCTTGGCCCCATCAGTTGGACTGCGCCAGAATGCTGTCCTCAAACGAAGCGACCCTTTCGGTCAGTAATAATTGGCACGTTGCCCAAAAATAATAGGTACGGGGATGCTAACGTATTTGGGGGGGGGGGACCACGCGGCTCGCGGCGTGCGATGACTCTTCTGCTCCCTCCTCGGCAAAATAGAAGTAATTTTGTGTTTAGGACATGGATATAACACCGACCTAGCTATATTAATACAGTAACGCTAAAAAGTCCGAAGAAACAGTTGTGGGCTGGAAGATTTTTGAATCAACTACAAAATTTTGTTGCCTGTTTGTTGTTGACTGTTATTGTTGACTACAAAAGATCAAACATTTGTTTTCGGCTTCCGTGGGATTTCTCAGCAAGTTCCCGGTGAACCTTGTTTGTTTTATTCTAATTTGACTGCTAGAATCGCGCTTCAAGTATCCGCTGAGTGAAGAGCCGATGAGTCATCACTCGCCGCGCGCCGCGTGGTCCCTCCCCCTCCCCCCCCCTCCCCCCCCCAAATACGTTAGCACGGCACGGGATCTCGTTTTGCGTATCCTACTGATAGCTTTCAGCAAAGTTTCCAGATTTAGAACCGATCACTTGGTGATAGCTCAAGGAGCTATAAGATTTGACACACATGGTATGTTCAATTTCCGGCTAATGGCGCGTGGGAGCCGGAAGCAGGCTGAATACGCTTCTTCTTGAAACACCCTTCTTTCAACTTTCGTTGGTTTTGCTCGCCTATGGATCACTGAAATTCAGCCACGCGATGAACTTGAAAACTTGAAAACCAACACTTGCCTTGAGATGTTTGATTTGATCAAAAGACGAGAATCGGGAACGAGCCATCTTTGTGATCATCACAACAGGGTCTATTTGCCCGCGATGGAGGGGGGGGGGTCGTAAACGCATGGCCCATGTTGAAGTGGAGAGAGCGGTGATACACGGTACAAGTGAAAAGAAGCTCAAAAGGGACGATGTAGATGACAATAAATAGAACTAGGCACTATCGAACTATTCCTAGGCCAAGAACTAAAAAAAATATTGCTGAACTTTTTCCTCCTTCCTCAAAAAACTTCAAGA